GAGCTCCGAGATGCCCAAGAAGCTCGCGTGCGCTGTCGGCATTTGCTCCAAGTGCCGGGAGCTGTCAGAGCCCTGATAGTCGAGGTACCGTTCCACCTTTATCGCCGTCCAGGAGCTCGTTTATTGTTCGGGCAAGCCTTGTGAGCAAGTGTGGAGATCGCAGGAGGACGATTGCAAGGCTGGCCGACGCACACGCAGCCTTCCTCCTAGGCTCGGGTCCGTCGACACTGTGCCTTGGCAGAACGGGGCATTCGGGCACCCAAGGGGGGCAGAAAACAGCGGAATCGGAATCGGCGTGAGGGACTTGCAGAGCAGACATGAGCAAACGAGGAGGCGGTGGAGTCCCGGTACGTGGGCAACCTCCTGCAGAGGCATGCGGCATCCTTCGGCTTGAAAGAGGAGATCTCGAATGGAGACCGTGTGGAGAAAGCGGCGGAAGAGGCACAGTTTCAGGAGGCAGAGCAGCTGGCCACCAACGATGGCAGCTTTGGTCACCCAGAGGCTTGTGAGTGCTTCGCCGCATCACTGCACAGCGTGTAGCAGCAGTGTAGCAGCAGTGTAGCAGCAGTGTAGCAGTGAACTCTCTCTCGCTGCCCCGGTAGCCAGGTGTGCGGGCGTCCCTGCGTGCGGTTCATGCATGGCAACTGCGAGCAGGGCGCTGCGTGCCAATTCTGCCACCTTGAACACACGAGGCCGGCTGCGGCTTCTGTGGCTTGTGGCTTTGAGCAGTACCCTTTCCTGGGCTGCACTGGTTGCAGGCCCAAGGGGAAGCTTGACAAGCGGCAGCGCCAGTGCTTCGACAGCTTGAATGAGCACCAGGCCTGAAAAAGTGGCTCTGCGGTGTGTGGAAGACCTAGCTGGGCCTGCTACGACAGGTGCTGTCTCTCCTCCTCCCCTACGTTGTTGCACGCTGCGAGGATCAGGAACGGATGAAGAGTAGCTCTTGGCCAGCCGTTCCGCCGTTCCCACGTTCAGGGCATCGCCGAGCCGATGGCGGAGGTGCTGGAATTGATCCGTGGTCGGCTGCACGAGTCGGAGGCTGTCACCGTGCCGATCCCTGTGCC